GTTAACTTGGTTTTAATTTAAATTTTTCCAGTACTGTGTCCATTTATTTTTGGACACAACACACTATGGTTGGGTTATTCTTCCGATGGTTTATAGTACTTGATGTTACTTATATATAGTAATGTTTGTTTTTCCTTTTTACTCTCTAATAATGATGATGTGATGTATGGCGTCAGGCTTGGCCATATTGGCCAACAACGAATGAATATACAGCAAGAGAGGCTTGTTAGGATCCTTAACAAAATAGACTTGACTACTTGTGAACATTGCCTAGCTGGAAAAACAGCAAGAAAAACCATTTGGAAAAGCGATAAGAGCTGAGTTCCATTGCAACATTCATTCTGACATATTGGTCCAATGATGTGAGGGCTAGACATGGGGCTTGTTATTTCATCACATTTATAGATGATTTCACTCGATATGGTTATGTTTTCTTGATTTCTCAAAAATCAGAAGCTTTAGAATGCTTTCAAAAGTTTAAAAACTTAGTTGAGAATCAATTAGATAAAAAATAAAAGTTCTACGAACCGATCGAGGACATGAATATTTATCTGATCAGTTCAGAAATTTTTGTATGAATGGGAATAGAACGTCAATTAACTATTCCCAGAACTCCCCAACAAATGGTGTTGCAGAAGAAGAAACAAACCCTACTTGAGATGGTGAGGTCTATGATGGCACAAGCAAACTTGCCCTCACCTTTTAGGGAGAAATTTTTCTAGTTACTCCACAAGATGACGAAGAGCCAAGGAATGTAAAGAGGCTCTCAATTGCCCTTCTAAGGAAAAATGGTGAAAGCAATGGAAAGAATTGAAGTCTAGAAATCAACCAAGTATGGGAATTGGTTGATTTCCGAAAGGACGCAAGCCATTGGGAACAAGTGGGTTCTCAAATCAAGCGTAAACTGATGGCAGTATTGAAAGATACAAAGCTCGCTTAGTCGCGAAGGTATACACAACAAGAAGGAAAGATTATGAAGAAACTTTTTCACCTGTTGTACGGTTACCTCAATTTGACTTATTCTAGCTATAGTTGCTAGCATGGATCTTGAATTGCATCAAATGGATGTAAAGACTGCTTTTCTCAATGGAGAATTCAGAAGAAATCTATATGGATCAACCAATAGGTTTTATTAGAGAAGGTCAGAACACAAAGGTGTGTAGACTTTTAAAGTCAATTTATGGCCTCAAGCAGTCCTCAGACAGTGGTATATTCGATTTCATATGCGATAATGTCATATGATTTCAAAATGATAAATGAAGATCATTGTATATACAAAGAGATCCAATACAAATTTGTTATATTATCGTTATATGTTATGATTACTAAGCTGGAAATGTAGGGATTTGTCAATGAAATCAAGGATGGTTATCATCTCATTTTGAGATGAAGATATGGGTGAAGCTGCATATATTCTTGGAGTCAAGATTACAAGAGATCGCTCAAGAAAATTAGTATCTCTTTCACAAAAACCATACATTAAGAAAATTCTTAAATATTTCATATGCAAGATTGTAAACCCATAGACAACCCTATCGCGAAAGGCGAGACTTTAAGTCATAAAATGTGTCCGAAGACTCCACAAAAAAGGAACAAATGAAGAATGTTCCTTATACAAGTGTTGTTGGAAGTCTCATGTATGCCATGTGTGCACTAGAGCCAACATCTATTATGCCGTTGGGTTGGTAAGTAGATACCAGTCCGACCCGGACAAGCACATTGGAAAGCAGTGAAGAGAATCTTAAGGTATCTAAAAGGGACAGCTGATTTCTCATTATGTTATCAAGGAAATGATTTGCACTTGAGAGGCTACCCGATGCTGATTGGGGAGGAGATTTAGATGAGAGGAAATCTACTTCCGGATATGTTTTCTTACTAAATGGCGGGCCATATCTTGGGCAGTAAAAACAATCATGCATAGCCTTATCTACAATGGAGGCAGAGTTTGTACATTTTCAGCTGCAGTGCAAGAAGCCGTTTGATTGAGACGGTTCATGAATCATCTGGGAATAATTAAGGTTGCTATTGAACCAGTAAGAAAAACGTGATAGTCAAGCAGCAATAGCATACACTAAGGATCCCAAATATCATGGTAAAACGAAACACATAGATATCAAATTAATTTTGTGCGAGACTTGGTGGCACAAAAGGAGATGAACATGAGTACATATCTACGCATGACATGTTGCGGACCATTCACAAAGCCTATACCGAGAGATACTTTCAATAGACATGTTAGATCCTAGGCTTACGTAGGTGTTGAATGTACTCATACTTTGAGATTTCCCAAAATTGTTCACATTTGTCTTATCATATTAAATAACAATATTGTCAATGCTCAATTTCGATTATTATGGAACTACATGAAGGAGCTATATATACTATTAGTTATGTAAATATTATATATGCTATTTTGAAAAGCATGTCGACAGCTAAAAGATTGGCCTTCTCACACACAATCGCCTCCATTACTTCGTAAGAATGAGATGAGACGATTTTAACTTATTATCTAGGTGATAATAGAGAGCACGCTTAATGTGTTAACGTCACCTAGAAAAAGAATTAAAATAATGTCATAATGAAATGTGACCACAAGTGATAATGACACTTTATCTGTCTAATTGCCAGATTAGAGTTCTGATGAATTAAAGTATGTAAAGTGAACTCAAGTTAGACATTAGGTATGTCTAAACTAAAATCTGTACAGCATTTACAAGAAAGAGACATGCACTCCATGGGAAAGGAGGAAATGTTGTAACATGTGATTCATACCACATGTGCAAAACATTGACCAAGGGGTAATGAAAGTCAAAATCTCAACTTTAACATTATGTGAGACCCTGAGTTTTTTTTAAGAATAAAATCTCAAAGAATACCCTTTTACTCTATTCGTTTCTTGAAAACTTCATTTTGATTGCTATCTTAGAGTGTTACCAAAGGATTAAGATAAATTCAATATGTTGGGACATTTCTAGAAAAGCAAGTTAATAAAAGTTGCAAGAATCGAGAAAAGAGGAAAGTATGATTTTGAATTATCACATTATAACACGTGTATCATTGGTCGACCATTTGTTTTACTTTTATGTAAAGATAGAACTAATTTGAATACAACGGATATTTTTTTGTAAATGAGATTGTTAGAAAAATGTGATAAGTAATCTAGGGTATTGCATACAAAACAACCTAAGTTTCACAATTCGAGAAGTTTATATTCCTAACAGATATATGACTAACGTGCTCTCGAAGTATGCATGGTCACACGGCATATTTACTAAGGTAGAACCTTAAAGAAGCATAGAGAGAGATAGTCTCATCATGTGTGAGTGGAGATATTGGATAAGGGTACACCCATGATGGGTTACCCCAGCACGTGTATGAAATGAAACTGCCAAATGCAGTTTCTCTGTAACCGCTACATATAAAAGAAAAATTTCTTTCTTTTACATGAACATTGCACCTCAAAAACGCAAAAGAAATACGCTCTCTCTCTCTCTCTAGAATTTGGAAAACAGAAATACGATTTGTGGTTTTTCTTCCAGATACTTTGTTGCTTCGAATAAGGAAATGAGATATTATGCTGTGCTAATTCATTGGTTCATTTATGTACAAATGTGATTACAATGGTGACTATGATCTTGATAATGTTAGGATATATGTTTCTATGTTATTGTTTTCCAACAGTTATGTAAGACCAGCTCCATATAACAAAATATTTCAAGTTCTTTTTCGTTTTCTTCTGTAAGATAGAACTCAGATCTGAATCATTCATTTCATGGGAAAAATAAACCAATTGTTATGGAATATAATAAACAAGAGAGTAGGTAGCAAGCAAAATAGTATGCATACACATAGGAACTAAATAATATTTTCAATATGCAATCGCCAGCATCAACTTCTTTTATTTATTTTTTCTGTAACTAGCTCAGTAAAAAGCTAACTAGTCTCAAAACATAAAACAACTAAAACATTTCTCACGATAGCGCAAAATTGATCCAAAGGCTATCCAAGAAATGAAAATGGATAACCCTCCACCTCCTGCTGATAAGTAAAGGACTTATTCCACCCAGAAACCCACCATAACCAAGTGCCATGCCTACATAGAACCAGTCAACTTCATGTTCATTACCATCATCTTTCCTCCTCCACTATCATGGTCCGACGTTGGAATAGTTGCTGCAGTTCTTGATAAGTGGCGGTCCACAAAGTTCATTGCCTGTGAAGAAGATGCCTCAAGGGATTGTAACTGAGTGGACAAAGGAATTTTCCAACTAAGTTATTGTGGATAATCAAGGAGCTCAAGAAGACATACTTGAAATGCCTTGTGGAATTTTACCAACAACTATTTCCAGAAAAATCAACACACTCCAACGATAGCATAACACCGATATTCTCAGGAATTCTACCGGTAAAATGTTATGTACAAATTCAATAATTTCAGTGCTCCAAGATTTGTCAATCTACCGGAATCTCTCCTGAGAAATTATTATTGGAAAGATCTATAGCTCTTACCAAGTTAAGAATTGTGCTATACTCGAATATCCTCCCTTTCATCACAAGTGACGCATCCTCAAGAAAATCCTCGGGAAAAAATACGCATCTGACGAATAGTCAATATGTTTCATCCACCTGTACAGAATGATTCTGAGTAGTCATGGCACTGAAATTCCCGATACACCTTGGTAGATTCCCCAAAAATTGTTATTCGCAAGGTCTACGATTTGTAGAGAGTGAGCAAAGTTCCACCGGTAAAAGTCAATAAACTTATTTGAATGAAGGTTGAGAAATTTCATTCTTGAAAAGCTTTCACCTTCCCCGCTGGAATGTTTCCAGTAAACTCATTTTACTTGCGTCAAAGGCTTGTAACTCTGTACAATTTTTAATTGCACACGATGGTCCAGAGAGCTTGTTGTTGCGAAGGTGTAGTGATTGAAGAAAACTTAAGTTCCAATGGTGGTTGGAAGATTACCAGTAAATTTGTTGTAATTCTAATTTCAGCACAATTAAGTTTTGCCAATTCCCAAACAATCTGGTAATTCTCCGTGGAAGAAGTTTTTGCTAAGGATGAGAATTTGCATCAATCTCTTTGCCTCATTCATCTTGTAACACAAGAAGTGAGAAATTGATCCTGACAAACTGTTGTTGGAAAGGTTGAGTTCATGCATGTTGAAGGGTGTGAGAGGCAATGGACCTGATAAATTATTTGAGCTTAAGTCCAGTGACTCAAGTTTTGATGACTCCATTAGATTTGGAATCTTTCCATATATTTGGTTGTGAGAGAGATTCAGGTAAACAATTTGGAAAGGGGCTTTAAATAAATAAGCAGGAAGAGTATCTAAAATACTTGAGTTGGATATATCTAGAACAAGTAAATGCTTTTGTGAATGAAGCCAGGATGGAAATTGAGACCCCAAATGATACGACCTCAATAGCAAAATTTGAAGTTTAAAAGGCGGGATCCACTCAGCAGTGTTTTTGAACATTAGAGAACTTCCAGATGCACCAAAATATATCAATTTTGTGAGACCGGAAAAGTGCACTTCAGAAAGAGTTCCATTCAATTTGTTTCCTGAAAGCACTAGAACTCGCAATGAGGAAAGCTCTCCCAAAGATGATGGAAAAGGACCAGAAATAGAGTTGTTAAAAAGATTAAGAAATTCTAAATTTTTAAATTGTCCGAGTTGATTTGTCAAATGACCAAAAAGATTACTGCTAGCCAAATCCAGAGACTCTAATCCTGCCGAAACACATTTTGAGAAAATCTCTAAGACTTCAGATATGTCTTGATTCAAATTCATCGATGACATAGAGATTGACCGTACGTTGCAAAATCTTCTAAAAGATGTCGGGATTCCCCCTTCAAGATTACTAGATGAGAGATCAAGTGTTTTGAGAAAACTCAAGTTTCGTACAGCACTAGAAATCGTTCCTTGCCAGTGGTTGCCACCAAGGGAAAGGTCTTCCAGACGGCTAAGTTTGTACAACCAGTTTGGTACTGATGAATTGAAATCATTGAAACCTAAATCAAGATACTTAAGAGATGTCAAGTTTTGAAGTCCATCAGGTATTGTACCTTGAAAATTATTACTACTCAAATCAAGGAAGGTTAAAGATGAAAAATTCACAAAAGACAACGGAGGAAAGCGATGAAGACCACAAAATGACAAACGTAAAAACTGTAAAGAAGGAAGTGCATTTATCACCAGACGCTCTTTTGAGGCTTTACTTATGTTGACGTTGCTCAAATCAAGCTTCTTTAACAAAGAAAGACCGGACAACCAAGAAAAATTCTCAACATATAATGACTGGAAATCATTATTACGACCGAGATCAAGATATTGCAGATTAGATAAATTTCCAAGTTGGTGAGGAATCATACCCTGGAATCTATTTGAAGAGAGATTAAGGTATCTTAGACTACCCATAGAACCAAGAAATTCAGGAATTTGAATTTCTTCAAAATTATTAGCGCTTAAGTCCAAGTAAGTCAAATGCTTTAAATTAAGCAAAGAGGGATTTATCTTACCACCAAACCTTGACCTTTGCCCATCTATTTGAGCAGACAAATCAAATGTTATTAAAAAGAACGCTGCCTGTGAAGGTGTAAGGTGGAGCACAAGGACGTTGCCTGTGAAGTTGTTGCAGACAACGCCATGCCATGTACAACAATCTCCATCACCATTCCAAGATGCAAGTCGGTTGGAAGGATCTTCAAGATCTTGCTTGAACCTTAAAAGTGCTTCTCTCTCACTTTGAATACAACCCATGTAAGAGCTTCCATTGCAGAAGCTAATATTGATGGCTGTTATTGCAAGTAACTCAAGCCAAAGAAATGCAACAACGGTCATGATTGTGGTTTTGAAGGCTTAAGATGTGCACGACATAATTTATCAATAGGTTAGTATTTATAGGCTTGTTCCACCATCAAGACTTTCATTTGATGTGATGTAAATGTCAGTGTGAAATCAATTTATGGTCAATTACCCAAGAATCCAATTTAAAGAATTTGTAAATAATTTAATTCCACGCGATAACTGAAGAATAAAGAAAGTTTATGGTGTCTCACCGGTATTGTTGCTGAAAATTGAAATACCACAAATTCATACATGTGTAAAGGGGTTTTTTCTTGACCTCCTTGAGGTTTAATTAAATAACAAAAGTTCCCCTAGCATTAAATTAATAGATATTTACCTAATTACCCATTTACCATTTATTTTATTATTGAAAAATTAACGGTGAAGAATTTCTATGTCAAGTGATATTTTAAATTTTTTTCTAACAAAGAACATCTAGTTTGGAAAAGTAACAAATGGTCTAATCGACATCTCATTAAGTATTAATTTAGGATACGAAGATTTGGATCTTGAGATGCTCTGATTCTATTCTCTTTTACATTTTAGTTTTATTTTACGTGTATTAATTATTCCACACTCAAGTTTTTCTCTACTAAAAGAATAAAAATTTCCAAAACACTTTAACTAGTTATCAACTCATCATGTCATCCAAAATTTTCAAGAGCAATCAATATGTTTTGAAGTCAAGAAAAGAATTTGCACTAACACATGAAGCATGCAATAGACTACTCCGCACTTTCGCACCCAAATAATGGCTTAATGGCGCTTTCGTACCCACAGACTTTTAAAATACCATTTTCTAACCAAATTTATATTTCATTTTTTATTCTGACATCGTTGTGACCACACACCACTATCATTCTCTTCTCCGATCATCACTTACCAAAACCCCAAACCCTACTCCCACCGACCATGTCAATCGTCGGCAATCGAGTAATTAGGGTCTGCATAACTGCCTTCCCTAGTCAAATTCTAATCAATCCTAACCACTAAAATTCTCATTGGCCTCCCTTCTTCAAAAGTCCTAATAGCCTAGAATGGGTTTGCTCTATATTCGCTGCCGGAATATAAATTTGAATAATAAAGTGATATTTTAAAAGACTGTGAGTAGAAAAGTGTCATTAAGCTATTATTTGTGTGGGAAAAAGTCTTTAACTCTGTTCTATATCAAATAAATTCTAGTGTGTTTCCAAGAAATCATGGTAGACTTTTCTTCTTCCAAGTCATTAGAGGATATTATCAATCAATGTATGATAATGTTTTATAAAATTATAAGAGAAATAATTATAAATTACAAAATAACTTAAAAAGGAACAAAATATTAATGGAGATGATCAGATCTAATATTTTTGAGGATAAAAATGGTATTTGAGAAGGGAACGATTTATATAATTGTAAATATTTTAAGTTAAAAAGAAAATTCATATTTAAATAATAATAACTTGAAAAGTGTTTTAGGGTTTTTATAATAATTTAAAAAAAAAAAAAAGTTGTTCTACTCCTGAAAATGAAACTTGTTTGGATATGCAGATTTTTGTAAAGTCACTTGACAAATGCGCGTTGGAAATTAAGTTTGATAGTGAAATGACCCAATATGTGTACATAGACTTTACATGTCGAATGAATATGGAAATATTATACACGTTATGTCTCTTTCTCTAATGTGGCAAATTAATGCCTCATTTGACATTTATAAATTACATCTTCATTGGAAGAGTAAGGGGTGAAGCGGTAGCGAACCTCAATCCTAGTCCTAAGACTTTACTATACGAACAATGATTGATTAGTTTTAAAAATGAATGAATGTAGGACGTGATATTGCTATAAGAATGCATTAATTATGGTGTTGATTTTTTCCTTCCACCTAAGACTTTCTCAATTTCTTAAAACCATTTTTCTTCATATATGTTCTTAATAAGGCGTTGAAGTCAATTAAAAGAGAGTATGCCGTGTGTATAGCTCTGGTTCCCCTTTCAACATTTCACATCATGATGTTGATGTTCTTCTTTCACCTAAGACTTTCTCAATTTCTTAAAACCATTTTTCTTCATATATGTTCTTAATAAGGCGTTGAAGTCAATTAAAAGAGAGTATGTTGTGTGTGTAGCTTTGCATAGTCTAGAGCTTTCTAATTGGGTCTCAAACTTAATTTCTAACAAATGCGTGCTGGAAATTAAGTTTGATAATGAAATGACCCAATGTGTACAAAGACTTTACGCGTCAAATAAATATTCTTAGATGGTTAATGCCTCGTTTGATCTAATTGTGGAAATTTAATTCCTCATTTGATCAAGTCAAGCCATGCACTAGTGACTTTATTTTTTAGCTTTTTAATTTTTATCTAAGGGTTTTGGTTTTTTATATTTTAAGGCTTTACAATTTTTTTTTTTTTTTTTTTAATTTTACTTGATTTGATTCTTGGTATCTTTTTTGGACAAAGATCTTTTCCATTGTTTTTTCCATCCTTGTTTCTCCTCAGTTTTTAGTGTTGGGCAAGGCCCAATCCCAGTTGGTCTCAAATTGGGACCGGTCCCAATTTGGCTGGGACCTGTCTTAAACCCATGACAAATATCAGGGTTCACACTGGTTCCTAGGCCCACAAGACCGGTCCTGAGACCAATCCTATGGGCCTGAAAAATTTCCAATACCTCTCTAATTTTGTATATAATTGGGGTTAAATTGAAAATTATGTAGAGAGGTTTATGTAATTTTTTTACTTTTTAGGGGGTGATTTGTAAATTTTTTAATTATTTAGTAAATAAATATAAATTAATGGTTAATTGGTTATAAATTTTGGGTAAATTTAATGAAGAGACTTGAAACAAGTAACATTAGGCTTTCCAAAAAGCGATATTTGCCCCCCTCTAAATTTGTATATATGAACGATTATTCATCTATATTTACTTAAACTATCAATATTTGCTCGTCTTATGAAAAAGAAGTAGTAAAGAATTATTACATAACCCTTCATTTTCTTTAGTAGTTCGAAAACAATTGGATTACTTGCTTTATCTCATTAAGTATTAATTTATGCTACGATGATTTGACTCTTGAGATGCCCTGATTCTATGTTCTTTTACCCTTTAGTTTTATTTTACATGTATTAATTAGTCCATATTCAAGATTTGTCCTACAGGAAGAATCAAAATTTCCAAGGCTTTAATTAGTTATCAACTCATCATGTCATCCAAAATTTTCAAGAGCAATCAATATGTTTTGAAGTCAAGAAAAGAATTTGCACTAACACATGAAGCATGCAATAGACTACTATACAAGTGATAATTGAATGATAGGTGAAAATAGTAAAGATTGTTATTATTTAGTTGGTTTAAATTTTAGTCTTTCTACTTCAAAGTTATTAAGTTTAGTATTCCAAATTAAATTTCAATTATTTATTCATTAAAAAAATCGCACACCTCTTCTAATATATTTATCTGTCATCAGGGCGAACCCAGTCCCCTTAAGGGTAGGCCCTCACATTTAAAAAAAAAAAAAAATTGTTTTATATAGGCCCCATAATTTTTTTATTATATATATATATATATATATATATATCTAAAAGCTCCCTTCAAATTTTAAAAAAAATGAAAATATTATACATTACCCAGACTCATAAAAAACTCACTATTAATATATATTTCATCACCTATATCATATTAAAATTTAAAACCCTCTCCATTCTTTTCTACGTCACCTATTTTTTATGATTTTATTCCTAAAATTCTTTATCTCTCATTCTCTCTTTCACTTTCTCTATGTTATTCTTCTTAAACTTTAAGACTAAATTGTTGAAGCTTTCACTAATCAGGTGCCACAATTAGATTTGTTTTTGTTTTATCATTTTTTAGGTATGTGTATTGCTCATTTCATTTTAGTTGATTTTAGGTTGAATCATGCTTATTTTTTGGAGGTTTTTATTCTAATTTGATGAAAAAGGCATATTCTTGTGAGTTTGTTTTGTGTTTGAGAATGTTATGCTTTCCCAATTAAACATTAACTATATTTTACTGAACGTTATTCTTCACCTTCACCCACCACTTTCCTAATTTCAAACTCACCGTTTAGCTCTCAAATTATTAAAGAAGTTAGTTATTATCTATGTTTATACTAAGAAAATTCCCTATTTTTTATTAATTCATATTAAAAGTCAACGTAACTTGACTAATTTAGTTTTTGATTTACTTTAGCTTAGGCTAGGCCTCATCAAAGTCATGAAAATTTATTATAATATTTGAAAGCCAAAAAAAAAAAAAAAAAAAGAGAGAAATAGAAAATTTGTGTAAACATTTTTGGTATTGTGATTTTGTAAACTTTTTAATTATATTGATTTAAATGATCTTGGATTCTCGTGGTTTTTGCTCTCTTTAATTAAGAGTTTTTTCAACGTAAATTTTCTTGTGTTTCCTTGAATTGGATGTTTTTTCAACATAATTTGCTAGGTTTTGCTTCTCATAGATTTATTCAAGTGGTAAATTGTGTTTTATTATTTTTTTCAAATTATTGATTGTTATTATTTTTTTTTAAGGTTTTGATTTTTTTTTAAGTTTTCATTAGTTTTTTGTCAAACATGACGGAGCCACGGAGCCCCCCCTTGGAAAAATCTTGGTCTGCCATTGTCTGTAATATAATAATAATATCATACACTCATATTAAACTTTTGTAAGACCACCATATTAAAAAAAAAAACAATGAAAGAAAAAAAAGATCAACTTAATGAATAAAATTGAATAATATGATAATAATAAAGAAAAAACAATATTTCATCCAATTATATATTAATCTTTTGTTAGCATGATAACTCAATTGATGTAACATTAAAATTTTCGGACCAATGCTTAAAGTAAAAAACCAAGACTAAGACAATCGAAAAAGAGAGGAGTTTATGTATGACTTTTAAGCTTACCTTTGTGGGACGGCTTGGGGGTTTCATATAGCGTTTGCCCTTGCCATGATTAGGGTGGCATGATGGTGTCAAATGACTGATGGCCATGTTT